CAACAGATAATTTTATACAAGACGAGTTTATTAAAGAAATGGCAATAGAACGAGTAAAAAGTTGTCAAATGCAGTTAAACACAGCTTGTGGAGATCAAATTATAAATGAATGGGTTAATGTAAAGATCAAAATCCATAATATTATAACAGAAAAATCATTTTTTATAGTAAAGGGACTTTCACATAAACTGATTCTTGGTAATGATTTTATGATTAAACATAAAGTATCAATTAATATAACAAAAAAGATAGCTTCAATAGATGGCAAAAAGTGTGAACTAGCTTATCCAGATGAATGTTTAAGGTCAAATGGTAATTATAAATTTGAATCAAATTCTGAGAATTTTTGTCTTATGAAATCCAAAATTGAGGGTAGAGTAAAAAAAGTTTTTGTAAAAAATGTAGAGTTAATGGATCAACTTATTTCAATTGGAGAAAACAATCTTTTTATAAAAAATTGTTCAAATGTAGACTTAGAATTGAGAAACTCAGAAGTATTTGCCGTTATTCAACCATTGAAACTTCATATTGAAGTAAATCTTGACCAAGAGAATTCTATTTATGGTAATGAGGATAAACAATCTGATCTTAAATTTCAAAACATAATGAAAGAATATAATATTATATTAAAAAAGAATCTTAGTCATAAATACAAATTAGCACACCGCAGAATTGTACTTAAGGATCCGAATATAGTTATTAACAAGAGAAAATATACCCACTAAGCCCTATTAAAAGGAATAAATAAAACAACAGGTTGTAAAGTTATTAAAAGAAGGTATAATTGAAGAATCAGTAAGTGTTTATAACAATCCAGTTCTTTTAGTTTCAAAGAAAAATGGTGAATGGAGACTTTGTATAGATTTTAGAGAACTTAATAAAAACACTAAACCAGAAAATTGCCCACCACCAACCATTGAAGAGTTGTTTAGTAATCTAAGTAGAACGAAATATTACAGTGTTATAGATTTGGAAACTGGGTATCACCAAGTTGTTATGGAAAAGGAAACAACAGAATTTACAAGTTTTACTTACTACCCCTTTAGGTAAATTTATGTATGCAAGTATGCCTTTTGGCCTAAGAAATGCACCAGCGCATTTCCAAAACTTTATGTATATCGTTCTTAGTAAACATATTGGAAAAAACGTCCAGGTTTATATGAATGATATAATAATGGCGACAGAAACTATTGATCAGCATTATGAAATATTAAACGATGTACTTTTAACTTTAGTTAGATTTTGTTTGCAAATATCTCAAAGTAAATCAGTTTTTCTACAAAGATCTATCATATTTTTAGGGTATAAAATTTTTGATGGAAAAATATTTATTGTAGATGTCACATACTCAACAAATACACATGAAACTGTTTGTGATTTGTTTCATACTAAACATAAAAACAATTAAACATAAATAAACACATGATTAACAATAATCTTTCTTTTAAACAACTCTCTCTTTACAATAATTATTTACAATACAACACTGTTCACCCAAACCATGGCAGTAGATTAAACTATTACTAAATTAAGAGATTTAGGTTCAAAAATAACAGATGTAAAAAGTTTGCAATCAATCTTATGAGTTTTAAATTATTTAAGACAGTTTATAAAAATTTTTGCAGGTAATGCTAAAGATCTGTATCAATATGCAACAGGTAAGATAAAATTTAATCTTGATTGCGTTAGAATAATTCTAGAATCTCTTTAGGTAAAATATTTGAGAGTGGTGTTTTGTGCTTACCTGACTTTAAAACACAATTTTATATTGAGACAGATGCTTCAAATACAGGCATTGGTGCTGTATTGAAACAGCTTGATTCAAAATCTGATAGTATTGTACGTTGTATAAGTAGACAACTTAGACCTGAGGAAACTAGATATAGTACCATCGAGAAAGAGTTGCTAGTAATAGTTTACAAGTAAAGAAATTTCAACATTACTTGTCAAATAAGGTAATTATTAAAACTGATCATAAACCACTGGTTTGGCTTATGAAATTAAAAGACTCAAAAGGTAGATTAGCTCGTTGGATTTTGCTTTTGAATCAATATGATATAGAAATTATGTATACTCCTGGTTCAACAAATAAACTTGCGGATTTTCTTTCACGTATTGTATGTAAATACAATATATTGTTCTGAAGTAAACAACATTATTGATAACTGCCATAAGGCGACGGGTCATGCTTCTGCTTCAGTTACATTTGAGTTTACAAGATCACAAGGGTTTAAAAATATAAAGTTCAACGATGTAAAAAAATTCACTGAAAAGTGTTATTTGTGTTAAAGAAAAAAATATGTCAGGGTAAATTATAAAATAAAGCCAATTTTAGAAGACCAGATGTTTGGTACTATTGGCATTGATTTGATTAATCCTTTACCAAAAACTAAAAAGGGTAATAGGTTCATAGTACTTGCAACAGATTAGGCATCAAGCTGGGTGGAAGGTAAAGCAATTAAGAATAAATATGCTAAAGTATTGCTAATTCCTTATTGAAAATATTTTTACTCATGGTCCACCAACTCATATAAGATCTGATTGTGGTACTGAGTTTGTTAATAATATTGTTGATGCATTCTGTAGATATTGGGGTTCTAAAATGAAATTTACTGTACCATATACTCCTTCTAGTAATGGTAAAGCTGAAAGAAGTAATAGAATATTGATAAATAAGCTTAAATGTCTGGTTGATTTATATAACCAATGGGATGTGGTTCTTGATGCTGCTTTATTTTGTTATAGAGTATCACCAATAGCTTAATATAAAATGTCACCATTTGAGCTAGTCTATAGAAGAGCTCCACCTATTCGTTTACGAGAGGATGAGTTTATAAGAGAAAATTATTTATTTGGGAATAAAGAGTGTTACCTAAAGGAATACTCCGGTTTTAAATGAATAATGGTAAAACTTTTAATTAAAGTTTTACCCATCGAAATCAAT